GCAGGGGACTGTAAATGCATCTTTAATACATTGATTCACAGCATGTCTGAGTTTCCCACTGTTTCATTTTGGATCTGTATAGAATTGAAAGCTGATTCTGTGAAAGAATTTAGGCATAATTCTTAGGCTCAGTTTCTTTTCCTGGCCAGCCACCTATTCTGAATAGTATCATGAACAGCAAAGCTGGTATTTCCATTTAGATTGTTGGAGTTTTTTTCATTATGTGTACCTACCAACCCTTCTGTATGTTCCAGCAGTTTTATTTTCCCCAGAAACTGGCAAATGAGTAAAGGTTATAAGTACTCCAGACTTTAGGATATCTGCCCAGTAGTACCTGCCTCATGTCGTTTTCCACTCAGGAGACCAAAATGTTGATTTTGTTGTTGTCGTTGTTGTTATTAATATTTGTATCTATGGAATGGAGCATCAGAAACAGTGGAACAATCTCTGAAGTCTACAGATATTTATCAAGTGTTTGGTTGCCAAACCACTACAGTTCTTCTGGCAGCCAGTATCCTGTCAGTACCACATCTGGACCACTGACTGATTTTCTCCCCTTGGAGAACACAACCAAGAGAGCATCAGGATGGAAATTTCTCTGTTGTCTGCTAATGAATACTCCTCTGAGTCCCTTAATGTGCCTTCACCTGAAATATGGAACTCCTTTATTGAACTGAAGATTTTAATTGAAAGGCAGTCACTGCCCTAAGAAAACTTTCCTTCTTGTAATCAGTTCTGCCCCAAATTAGCAGTTTTCCTTAGGCTCAAGATTTATTTTGTCTAATGGTCGACATTTAGGAAAACACGAGGCAAGAATTATGCACTATAACACTGGTATGTTATACTTTATCTATACATGCACGGCACAGATTGCTTTTTAAAAGCATTGTAGAAGTTACTACTCAAAGTTTAAATATTTTAGTTTAAATATTTACCTCTGATCCTGTGAGAGAGAAGACTTAGGTCTTGTCTTCAGTCAGGTTCTGCGTTTGTGTGTTAAGCAATTTTTAAATTAAGAAATATAGTACTACTTGCACCTCCCTTTCCTTCTCCCCTACATCCATGTTGTTTCCTTCTACCCAAGGCTCTTTTCTATCCCCAAAAGATCTTGCGTAATTTTGGCCTCTTTGTTAACCTTGTCACTTCTCAGTTTTAGACATTTCAAAAGGACAATGGAGTTAAAGTCTCAGCTCTGTTGTTACATCACAGTAGTCTACTGACAGGATAGCAGAGCAGGTCACCCATTCCAAAGGTTTTCTGGTGTTGTGGAGAAAACAAGTCTATTGTTTAAAATAAGTGACTAGCAAAAAGGTTACACAATACTTTTTTTTTTTTCCTGGATTTAAGCAGATATTGAAGGCCTGATTCTTCTTTCTGGTTTTGTGCAGCTGTGACTCCTGTGTTTCCAATTCAGTACATCAGCATAAAAGACCAAGCTTAGTGATTGAATTAGACACTGCTTGTCCAGCTTCAAGTTGAAGATCATTAATAACATAGACAGACCCAAAGACATGAAGGACCATGCAGAGGGTAAAGGATGGTGTGGTGGTTTGGACCTTGGTTTTTCCCCCAGAGGCCAAGAAAGTGGTAGACCCCAAGGGGTGGAAACCCCTGGAAGTTTTGAAGTTTTGCCCAATGGGCGCTCCTGCAAAAATGTAAACATATCACAAGCATCGGAAGAGATGAGTTGTAGTTTTTGGTTGTTGGTGGAGTGGTGGCCATGTTGTGAGCCACGAGGAAGGGGCTCGGAGCCCCTCGGGGCCTCCGGGGCCCCCCCCAGCCCCAGTTGGGGGTTACAGAGACCTGGAACAGTGCTAGACTGGACTAAGCGTCTGCAGTATGCCGGGAGATGTTTTCTCCATGGGCGCAGAGCAGCAGCCAGCACTGACCAGAGAAACGGTGGCAGAGAGCCAGGACAGATAAGACCTGAACCGGAGAAGCAACAGAGACATGCAGCATCGCAGAAAGGACTCCTGGAAAGGGAGAGAGAGAGAGAGAGCCAGCAGCAGAGCTACAGAGTTTGGGGTNGGAAGAGATGAGTTGTAGTTTTTGGTTGTTGGTGGAGTGGTGGCCATGTTGTGAGCCACGAGGAAGGGGCTCGGAGCCCCTCGGGGCCTCCGGGGTCCCCCAGCCCCAGTTGGGGGTTACAGAGACCTGGAACAGTGCTAGACTGGACTAAGTGTCTGCAGTATGCCAGGAGATGTTTTCTCCATGGACGCAGAGCAGCAGCCGGCACTGACCAGAGAAACGGTGGCAGAGAGCCAGGACAGATAAGACCTGAACCGGAGAAGCAACAGAGACATGCAGCATTGCAGAAAGGACTCCTGGAAAGGGAGAGAGAGAGAGCAGAGCTACAGAGTTTGGGGTAAGACTGAATACCAGACCCCAAAACTCCTTTGAGACCTCCGAGAAAGGAGGAATAGATGGACTCCTGTTTGAGAGGAGCCTTGGAGTACAGCAGCACCGGAGAGAGAGGAGCTAAGAAGCTCAAAGATGTCCCGGAGCTGGACCGGGACGGCCAGATGGAATGCGGGGGGAGTTGACCTTGGCTCCCCCCTCGCACTGCTGCCACGGTGGCAGCCTGAGAACAGGGCACAGAGGCCCTGCAAGAGATACCAGACCGTCACCCCCTGTGTCTTCGTGATATGACGTGGTGAAACGACCTTGTCTGGGGTTACAAAGTCCACGGAAGACCCCTCGGTTGTGAGGCAATGGGGCCGAGAGAGGCTTGGATACCTCCCTCGTGGATGCTGGTAGAAAGCCAGCCACAGCTGCTGCATGCATGTGAGGGGGACAGATGACCTGCTGCCTTAGAAGATGCTGCTTAAGGACTGGAAGGGATCTGTCCTTCTTTCCCTCCTGGACTTTTATTTGGAAGGGAGAGGAGATCTGATCCATTGTAAATACTATATGTCATGATAGAGATATTGTGATCGTGTGTATAAATGTGATATGGTATTTATCTGTACAGTCATTGTAATATATTCCCTTTCCCCATTTAGAGTCTGGTGTGTTTTGTCTGGAAAAACCCATCTCACATTAGGTTGAGATGTGGGAGGGGGCTTAGACTAGGGGATTGGATTTTGGGGCTATCTCAAACCATGACAGATGGACACCCCACTGGTTGTGTTGCTGAAGAAATCTCATTGCAACCATGCATGGAAATCATTTGAGAGAAACACTGCAAAACACTGAGTTACTGCACAGTATTTACATGTAGTAAAGGAGGACAAGAATTGAAACAACCACACTGGGAGGGCTTGAGCAAGGTTGGAGTGAAAACAGACAGTGGAGGGAAACATGGCACTGTAGTTGTCACTCTACAGTCTCAGAAGAGAGACAGTGGTTAAAGAAGAAGGTGGTGGCAACTACTGTGAGACCAACTGGAGGACAGGGGAAGGTGAAGGAAGGGAAGGAAATTGTGTGCTAAGTGTTTTGCTGCAAGCCTGATTACAGGAACAGAGTGGGTTAAGAATTCTAAAAAACGGCAGAAATCAATGTTGTGCAAGGCAGTGGAGAAATGCCAGAAATTAAACAAGTGTTGGTTTTAGTATGATGAGTAAGTTCTCAAGAAATCTGGATAGCTGAAAGGTAAGCTGAATGGTTAGGTGGTAGGAAAGCCCAAGCCAGGAGACTTCCAAGTCCCAAAGAAGTATGCTGCATGTGAGCAAGCTAGCTGCCTTTGCTAGTCAACATGCAAGGATGCCAGGCAGGATGAGAAAGAGAGATGGCAAGGCAGAGTGGCTTTTGACAGGAGAGAAAAAAATCACACATATTCATTGAAAGAGGCATCCAGAAGTCAATCTCCTGCTGGGAGCAGGGCCACCAGTAGATAAGTTAGCCAAAGCCCTTCCAAGGATGGAGATTACATAACGCTTCTGAGTAACCTTCTCTAGTTCACAGCTGCTCACCTTGGAAAAAGGTTGTTCCCTAATATACAACTCACCCTTCAAGCGTTGTGGCTATTGCCACTCGGTAATGACCTGGCACTGAGAAGAGGACATTAAGTCTGTCATCTTTGCAATTGTGCTTCAAATATTTGAAGGAGAGAGAAAAGGTGACTCACATTTCCATTGACTTTAAAGGCCTGTGAGTTTGTTTGCATGTTGTCATGATTTTGTTTTTCATTGGCCTCCCAGTTGTGGCTTTCCTGTCTTTATTCCCAAGATACATCAGGAAGTGCTTAAAATGCTTATCCCTGGGGACATGAAGCTCTTGTACTAGTGAAGCGAGGCAGAATTAGACCTGAATTCATGGGGATCCTGTGTCATGTTTCACAACTGAGACAGACAGAAGGCAGTGCTGCTGGGGTTGTATAGGGGTAATGTAAAGTACTTGCTTCATGACACTTTTTCTATGCTCCTTCCCCTTTGGAAATCAGAACCAGAAGGAACCCTGGAAGCAGTTGAGCACTTGAAAGAAAAGAGAAAGGACTCAGTGACAGTCAACAGTCTCTTCTCTTCCAGGAAAAGGGAGTCTTGCTGTCCCAAGAAGATGTGTTTCTAGTAAGATGCTGTTGGTGTGTGCAAGTCCATTAAGAACACCAGTCCTTTGTTCTCTGTTGTGAATTCAGGTAGTCAGGAACACTCGCAGCAAACATGCAAGACTGATTAGAACACTTTCTTAGGAGAAAGAGCTGTGACAGGAGTAAATACAACCTGGGGGATTTTGCATGTCATCTTCCTGAAGGCACTTAGGGAGTACATATTACTTGTATTAAATTAGACTTAATTCTCCCATTTGATCTTGCCTCAAACCAGCCGAATAAGTGGCAAAGCAAAGTGAGAGCAAAGCAGTGCAGTGCTAGGCTGGAAACAGTATTGTATGGATGGAAGATTACAAATGAGAAGGCTTCAAGGTTTTCTTTTCCTCCAGTTCTATAGTGTTATTCAATATTTTCCAATTGCTGTGGGCCAGAGATTAGAAAGTACTTGCGTTAGCCTCTTTTCATGCAAAAAAAAAGAAGCATCAGTACCAGGAACACAGAGGATTTTGCAGGTTTATTTCATTATCAGCTCTGCCAGGCCACAAACTTGGTAAAAAAACTGACAAGAATGTGGGTGAGGTAGCCCTCCTGCAGGGATCAGCATAGTGAGCTGAAACTAATGGAGATGGAGCAGCATTCTGGAGGAAGATTTTCTTTTCTTCTTAGGTACCAAAACACATATATTGAAAATTACTTGTTTAGATCAACTCAACCTGTTCTGAATGGTGGCAGTTCTGGTTCAGAAAGTACTGAAAAGACACAGCAATATTGTTCCATGCACAGTCTGGTACTTACAGGGTAAAGCTAGCATTTTCAGGTTCTTTGGACAGGAAAATGAGCCAGAGGCATGAATTCATGGTTATTTTTAATATATGCTCTCTTCTAACATTGAGAGATTTGTCAACAGTAAAGGAAAGTTAAGAAGTGCACAGACTATTGAGATACTCTTCCTGGTGTGTATTGTTGTTGCAATAACCTGTTTAGTAATTGTTGAGTTTCTAGGGGGAAGAGAATCTTCCCAAGAAGAGGATAGTCTTGGTCTTGTTGTGCCTGATAAAGAAGAGGAAAGGGTGATCTGCCACAAAAATAACAGTAGCACCAAGACTTCGTGATGCCAGTGCTGCTGAACTGGCAGCTGCTGCCTCTGTGCCTTCTTCATTGACTTCCAGGTAACACTTGTGAAAAACTTGTGACAAAAACAAATCACCGTCCTTTGACATTCCTGTGAAATCAGCTTGGCCTTCCGTGAAGGCATCTTGTATCCCCATCCTGCTCAAAGTAGACTTGAGGTCATATTTCTCTTCCAACGTAAACCTTGGCAGATAAACCTCCATTTTCATTTTCTCCATTAGTTCTGGGTTGGTCCATGAAGACAAGTTTTCAAAAGTCAATTCTCTTTCCAGCTGCAGTTAGTAAAAAGAGAATTAGAAAATTACAGAATGTTCTTATCTTTTCTTAAATGGAGGGCTTTTCAAGCTGTCATAAGTGTACAAGAAAAACAGTAGGGAAACGCCAGTTTGGAAATCTTTTTGACTAAACAACAGTGTTGCTTATGGTTGGTCAATGCAGTATTTGAACTGTTTTCAATAATTGTCAGGGAATAGAGCAGGGTTAGAATAGGTTGATTTTCTGTTCCCAGTTCTGTCTTCCCTGCATTTTAGAATTTATTGAAAAGAGCTTTTTTTTTTCCTCTCACAGAACACCCTATAAATGAGAATTTTTTAAGAGTTTGTTATCCAAAGGCATAATCAGTCTTTTTACAGAAGGTGGCAGTGTCCATACATATCAGTTCTGGACATCCTGAAAAGTAGCAGAGGCTGCCCAATTTTTGGTGGGTTTTTTTTTTAGAATGAAATCATATCTGTCTAAATCAGTACAGACAGTGGATCTCAGCAGGGCTGGCTGGACTGTCCTCATTTTTGTTGGGCAGGAAGAGAGCAATCTTATGGGTTTGGGTTACTTGTTTCCAGGACTGATCAACACTGGAAAGCACAGATGTGCTAGCTTCCAAGAGTAAGAAATCTAGTCTGAGCTTCAAGACATTCAGGTTCACAGTACTAGACCAAATTTGAGATTTGCTTTACCTTGAGCCTGATCAGTGCCCTCCTTCCTAGAAACATGACTGCAGCCTGGTCTTTTACCTCACACATGCATAAAGTAAGTAAGTTAATGAAACTCTTATTTTCTCAGATGATTTATGTTCTCAGTTGTTTTACCTTTTGTAAGCCGGTGAGGTCACTTGGTAGCAGGATAAACATGCTGAGGTCATTATTGACGTACGGAAGCTCAAGAACATCAGCCTGGACTGATTCTACGTAGCTTAAGTTAAATTTGTCACTCAGGTGCATCATCGGCACTGGTTTAGTTGTATGCTGCAACAAATCAAATTAAATGGTTTCCATTTGTACTCTGAACACTAAAGGACTGAGTTAAAACAGCACAGTGGATGATTATTGTATTTACTCTGCAAGCTGCCCAGTGTATCTGAGATATTCTTATGGCTAGGACATAGGATCTTCAGAGGACCCCTGGTCTTCTGGAAAGGCACTTGATAAGCTATCTAAGCTGTCTCAGATGACTCCCATTATGGGAAGCTGTATTTCACTCTGATTTGTTGTATGGTTAAAAATAAATATGTAAAGAACTAACCCATACAGTTTTGTTCACCTCTTTGTTTTTCCTGCTATGAGAGAATGGAAGCTTTTTTCAAGTCAGCTTCTGACAATTTTACTTGTGGCTCAGGGCCTACTATGTGTGTGCAGCCTTAGTGCTGAAGGTGTGGTGAAGAAAATATACTGTATGCTTTAAATGAAGTAACTATTATGCCGTGTGGATTTAAAGTGTGACAGGAATTTCTCTTTCAGTTTTCTCCATCTGCAATGTAACATAGAGGGCAGCATATTCCCATACCGTGTTTATTCTGAAAGGCCTTTGCCTGGTAGCTTCAGCTTCAAACTTTGTTGCCCAATTTCCTTTGAAGTAGAGTGCATTTATCAGGACTAGCCTGGTGAGTGAATCTATGGATCCAGGAGGCAGAAGATTTTGGATTTTACCTAGAGAAAATAGAAGGACATTCACACATCTGTGTACTTTTACTGTTTCAGTGCAAGTGTTGGCACAGTTTCTGTGGTTATAAGCCAGGGAAATTGTAAATGCTGCCATAGCACCCATCTATTTTGAGATTATTCGCAAATATATTGGGCTAATCTTGAATTACAAAGAAGAACAAGCCATATTTCTCCCACATTCAGATGGAGGACACTAATTTTAGTAAGGCCTTGTAACTAGATGAGTACTTTAGGAAAAGTGATCTGATTTACCTTTCTGAGGTTAATTGTTTACCTGCCATCGGCCCCTTGGGTACAGAGAAAGCAAAATGGCTTCTTTTTGATTTGGAAAGGAGAGGCTGGAACTTACCTTCAGTCTGTTGTTCAACATTGGAATTGATCTCTATTCTGATTTCATCTGCTGCTCCCACAAAGTCAACTGATTGTGGCTCTGCATTGTAATATTTCTTGGCCAAGTGTAAGTATTCCTACAGTGCAAGAGAGACACTGGTATTAGGCTTGTTCTTTTACAATATGAGTGCTACTACAGCCAGAGATAAAAATTGCATGGACAAAAGCATAGTGTTTTGTCAAAGGAGCAATGTATTTTTTTAGTGGAAATGCTCAATTTAAATGTTCTTGTCTAACTACATCTGCAAATGATTCTTAGATTAGATACACATCCCATAAAACTAAAATTTTAGTGTCCAAAGTCTCAGGAAAAGTCTCATAGAAATCACTTATGTCAAGGATAATAACACGATTTGCAAATGTAGTGAAAATATTTAAAAGTATGTGGTTTATATTGTCATAGAGAGATTATGAAGGTTAACTGGCACTGCATTATCTGAATAAAAGGCTTACCTTACTGAAAGGCAATGATTTTTCTCCATATAACTGGTTGACACTTTTAAGCAGGTAATTTTCAGTAGGTTGATTGATTTCAAAGTTTAGTGCTTTAAATCCAGTATGGATATTATCTGATTTACCAATTTCTTTCTTGAATAAAGAAAAAAAAATGTTATTCATTTGTTGTGTAAAATAGTTAAAAATTCACCATTTTTTCTTTCATACAGCTCCAAGTAAAGTATTTCTCTTCAGGTGATCTGTTACCTGTATCACAACAGAAGAGGTACTCTAAACTTGTCAGTATTAAAAGAATAATTTTAAAGTTGCAGGCAGATATGGTACACAATGCAAGTCTTAAGAGCCTAAACTATGTAAAATATTTAAGGATTTATAAGTGAAGATTATAAAACTTAGGATATCCAGAAAATGAGAGAGAATAATTGTTAAACAATGCATAAAGATTTGGCTCTGTCACTCCTTTCATTTATGAAAGTCAAGGGTGTTACATGGAAGGTTTGCCCTTAATTTCTTAATCTCTCTCTTAAAATTTTGTGGTTTGTTCGGTTTTTTTTATTTTGTTTTGTTGGGTTTTCTTAATGTTTCAGTAATTGCAGTAGGTTATTTGTATTAAAGTAACAACAGGATTAAATGAATGTTGGCTCAGACTCTCAAATGAGCTCAAGGAAGATAAACTGTGAATTAGTAACCTAAAAGTCTGCACGTGTATTCACCTTGTTATTGATTCAGAATCAGAGGCATGAACAGATTAAATCTCAGATTTAAATCTCTAAACTGTTCAAACCTGTAGCACTACACATAGGGCTGTACATAGCACTCTGTAATTCTTACAATTAGGACAAGCATTACTCATGAGCAACAACCCCTCTCCTGTTCATGCAGTGCCAATGAGATGTTGACATAACCCCTAAAATAAATCTTCCCACCACGGGATTTGGCCATGGGATGGAGAACCAAGTGGCCACTCATCAAAACTCAAAGGAGTTGGGGTTTTGTGGGCAGACTGCAGGGAAATGGCTCACTCCTACAACAAATAAGGATGATGGGAAAGAGCAAGGAGAAGAGCTTGACACCACCCTGGTTAAATTGTCAGCAAGGAAAAAGAGCTTTTTTTCCTCAGAAGGATTACATTTGCCTTTCTGTGTTTCTCTGCTATGTTCAATTACATATACTTTGGGACAAGATGCCTGCCAGTATGGCAAAGAAATATTTCAGGAATATAATTATTCTCATCTCTCTAAGATTTATTGCAGGCAACTGGTCTACTTCGGGAAATCCCAATATGTAAATTTATTTTGTTAACTGCTCAATTGAAATGGAGACTAATTTCTGAATATCAAGCATAGGTATCTTGGAAAAGTTAATGTTTTGGTTTTATTGTCTTAATGATGCAATCAAATGTGTGGAAGGTAGCTAATCCTTGGGATTAGCTCTCTGAGGTAGGAAGTGTGCTAGCTTTTGAACAGTAATAATTTGGGAAAGAAATCTGCCCTCAAAGCTAAGAGAGAAAGAACAAGAGACCTATTGATAGAGAATGATAACCTCAAATGTTAAATTTTGCAAATTTGAGATTAGTTTTTGCAATTCTGCCTAAAAAGGGGAAGCATGTAATAAATGTTGCATTAGGTGAAGGTATCACAGGATGTTGTACCAATTAATTGTGTACACTAAATCTGAGGAAGGCAAACGTAAGCAAATGCAAATGTGGAAGGAAAATACTAGCAAGAAAAGATGTGACCATGCCCACAGCTCGATCACTATCTTGGGTGAGGTACCTTCTGGAAACATGCACGTCGATTTGATAGACTGTCTTCTGTTCTAGAATAGACTTGCATTCTTATGGTTGTGGTGACGTTTTTGGCTCCTTCAACTTTGTTAAAGTGAAGTACCTGTAGTGGAAAAAGCAATAATAAATGGATCAATAGAAAATTTGCCGTTTCTGTTAAAAATTTCAGTGATGTCATGGGAACTGGTAATGAAGAGAGTCAAGCTCAGATTTTATTCAGGCCTTTCTGAATATAAAATCTTTGATTAAGTCTTGAGGCTCATGTGTACAAAATGGCTTGTGTACACTAAGCTGAGGGCTGCAGTGCAAAACTCTTACATACCTAGTCTTTATAGAGAAATCTGCCTGCTTGGAATTATGTCTTAGGAAGAGACAATTATCTCCAGATGGAGCCTATCAAAACAGAAGTCTAAATGGAGCGTGCATATGTGTTAGAAAGCCTGAAAATTGTGCAGGCAGTTTCATGCCTTAAATCCCTTTCTCTGGTCTTGTTCACCTTACCCAGGCTACAAAGGGGCACGATCAACCTTGGAACATTTTTGAGAAGAGCTGTGCCTTTTGTTTTGTTTTTCCTTCATCCTAACAGGAGATCACTCCTTTCCTTTTTTACCCTACTGGCTCTCTTTTTTCCTATATATCAGGAGTTACATTACTGCCCTAGCAGGTGGGACAACTTCTGCCTTAGCAGATGCAAATTCATAAGGATCACCTCCTACGATAGGAGGTAGGTAACTGCATTAGGTGTTAGGTAACCGTGCATTGGGGCTGTCATTGCTGTCACATGCTGAAACCATGAGCTTTGAACAAGTGCAACTTAGTGAATTCAGTCAGTGATTTTGCCAATAAAAAATACATCCTAAAGAAAGGGTTGTAGTCTCAACTTGTTTCTTCTCTAATCTTGGAGATGTGGATTTATGTTTAGCAAAGTGTAAAACTTATAATAACTATAAGGGAGAGTCCTTTTCTGTGCAGTCATTTCCAATGAGATGAGATATGAGATGAGAATTTTCTGTGGCAGAGTAGAAGAAGAATCCAAATCTCCTATTCCCTGGTGAGTGCTCAAGTTACTGAGCTTTGGGATAAAAATCCCTTGTTTCTGCTGGTGAAATTTAAAAGGTGACAATGGCACCAGTGCCACTTCTGTCATTTCTTAGGGTCCTATTTGCAGAGGCTAGAGTAGAGTTGATCTGCACAAGTGGAGAACTGGTCTATTCATTGCAAAGCGCATCAGGGGTAAAATGGGAGCTGGCATAAGTAGAAAAATCACTCTAATCAAAACTCTACACATATATGGCTTTCCTCTGTTCCATCACAGTAAAATTCTGTCATGGAGGACATTATTCCAAGAGACCTACCCTTTCAGACATCTACTTTTTGAAGGCCACACTCACCTTTGCCATTTGATCTGCAGTGTTACCTCTGGCTCCCAAATAAACCGTAGCCAGGGCAGATGAAATACTTAAAGGGGAGAACAAAATATTCTTGTCACCATCCTCCTGACACTGCTGTTTGAAAAAGTCAAGAGCAAAGCTTGTGTTTGCTTTATTTAAAGCATCCATTGTTCTGAAGCTGCAAAGAAAGGGAGAAAATATGCTATTAACAAGCGACTAATTATGACTGCTATGTGTCTGCAAGTTTCTCTTTACTTTTTGAACTTCTTTTTGTGATTTAAAGGCTTTCTAAAATTATCTATACGAAGAATGAGGAGGATTAACTATAATAAAATCATATAAAGTTTAGCATGTCCTGCCCATGTCCATGTCCATATTTCACTGATGGCACTAGCCATCATTTTTAGGGATAAACCAGCCTCCAATCTTGTTTCCTATTTGATGACCATTTGCTGCACTGTCCTTTACAGCTACTTGGAGTAACAGTTGATAACGTTACTCACCAGTGCCTGGACTAGAAAATATGGAGAAGCTCTCCCTTATGACAAATTTTATGCTTCAGTTTGTGCAAGAGCGTTTTGATGCTCATTGCTGTAGTGAACAAATACTCTGGTAACAATAGAGTCAAATTATTCATTTAGGTGAGGACAAAAAATTCCTTCCTATGCTTGAGGAAGCACCGCCCCAACTGTTGCATGCTAAGCATCCTGAATTACCTTTTTGACTTTCAAAAGTGTCCTGAGCTCTGTCTTACAGTGGTAGCCCAGATCCTAGCTTCCCAGTACTTCTGCAGGACAAAGTTTCCGTATTCAGTAGCCCACGAATGCTGCTATTTGTCATTTGTCTTTCAGGTTTAGCTAAGAGCTCTAGACAGGGACTAGGAGATTTTCTGGTTGGTATAGGATGGCCTTAGAATAAAGACAGTTTGTCCCCAAAGTAGTTTGCATACCAGGAGCTGATCTGATAATTCTAAGCACTAAAGAGCACAAGAACAAATTAGCTGACTTAAGCAAACATTGTGGTTCTTACTCTGCTATGATATATATGCTAGTCAATGAGCCCTAGAAATTATAGAACTCTGAACAATAAATTGCTCTTCCTGTATATTTTTAAGACTTCCACCTTCTAGACTATGCCTGTGCAATCTTAGTTAATTACTTTCCCCAGTATTAGATGGTTTCCAATTCAGATCCCTGTTTCCTTTTTTGCTATGCATTTGTCAACAAAGCAACATCATCCAAGAATGTGTGAAATAAATGGTATCTAGAAATCATTACAGTACCTTGTTCTGTACAGGAAGAAACACTGCTGCTCCAGGTGTCTCCAAGGTTTCTGCAGTTCACATGAAGGGTAGGGTGAATTTATAGTGTGCCTGGCCGGTTCTGCAAAGGTTCTTATGACTCATGACTGGGCAATGTGTTCTGCGCTGTAGCCCACATCCCTGTGGAAGAGCTGAATCATCTCAGAGTAGGATGTGAAGTGATGGTAAGAATGATACCACACAAGAACTTTACAAAACTGACTACATAAGTATTTCTATAAACACTTCTGTGGCAACAGGCTAGTAACAACTTGAACCCACACTACTTTGAAGAGCCTTTCTTTTGTGGTTTGGAGAGTTTAAAAAAAGGCAGTTCCTGACCTACTTTTTTTATGATTTGTCTAAAGAATTTATCTCTGAGAAACAGACAGACAAAAAAAAAAAAGGGAGTGACTTCTTATGTGTGAGTTTTTCTGTTATCCTTTTCCTTCTCAGAAAGAATTGGTCATTCCTGGTGGGTTTCAGTTTTGGAAAAATGGGTTTTGCTAATCTTGAAGGATTTTAAGACTGTACAACCAGGGGAATTCTGCCCCTGTGAGATAGGCAAGGTTAAGAGACAGGCATGAGACCCTTGCTTGTACTGTCAGTGGCAACATCACTAGAATCTAATGTGGGTCTTAAATTAGACTTCATTTCTGTTTCCCCACCTAATCTGAAAGCTGTTTGACTGATGTAGCACAACAGAGATCTATTCCTTATTTTTTTTCCATTTCATCTTTCCTTGGCTACAAAAATATCTCCTTTCCTGATTTTCCTTGCAATCATGCTGTCCCTTCCTCCATTGTCCTTCCTGTAGCCGTCCATCCCCACTCTGACCCCTAACCAAAGCATCCTATGTAATCCTACCCTTGCCCTTTATTTCATTTTTTACCTCTCTGCATTGTTGAAAACTCCACCTTGAAAACCTGGATAGGAGTTGCTTTCCAGGGCTGCCTCCTCGACATCGAGCAGGACTCACAAGGTCTCTCTCCTTGGCACAAGCTACCTTTGGAGCTTTCTTCTGACCTGCTGTCTATGAGCATAGGTTAAACGTGGACTTGTGTTGTAGGTCAGCAGCTGTAATGGAGGATCCTGTAATGAGGAATGAACTATGGAAATACCTGCAAAATTTGGTGTAGGGCATATGGGTGCGCAGCTGCCAATTCCCTGCCAATGGTGAACCTTCTGCATCAATATAATTGGGAAAGGAAAGCTTTGTTAAAGTTGCTTTCCTACCTGTGAGGTGCCACATTACTTTAATTGGATGTTTTCCTACCCCTCGGGTCTTTTAAAATTGTAGCAACACATAAGGAGCATGTTTCAGTGTGAGTTGTAATTAGATGCATCTGTTAGGTTTTCTAGACAGCAGCATAGTGTAGGAGAGATACTCACTGCATAATTAATTGTTCCATTACACCTGGGAAAGCTGTAATCTGTTTATATTGGCGTTCAGTGATTTCCAAGGCTTGAATGATTTGAATAATGTTTGCAAATTTAGCCATGTTGTTGAACAAGTGATAGATGCCCTGAAAAGACTTCATTTCTTAGAGCAATCCAATACTGTGGATTTTCTGGTTTTAAAGCAGAGTAATTTAATTTTCTACACTGTGATACTGCTTGCTGCCTTACAAGAAGTGACTGAGGTGTTCTATTTACACAGAAGTGCACAGTTAGACTGAATGAGAGGCTTGTACCTTTGCACAAGGTTTTAAAGCCACCTTTTTAGAACACTTCTTTAGCTGGTAGTTAAGAAATAAAAATAAAAATAGCATACTGAATAACTAGAATTATACTCATCTCAAAGGACAAAATATGCTAAATCCATATGATGGGTTGATAATGTTTTCTAATATCCTTTTAAGTTAGTATCACCAGAGGACACGACTCTTTGAATGGTGCTACTGCTGACTCAGTAGCAGCGGTACTCTCACTCCCACTCTTTACTAAGTCAACACAGCAGTACACTAGAGGACTTATATTTGTGTTAATAGTGCCCTTCCTGTGGGAAGTAAACCTGTGGGGCCTTTCACTGCAGTCATTCATGTTTCCATCTGGTTAGAACAAATATTGGCAGGGTATCAGTGCCCTGGCCAGATCTCAGCCTTTTAAAGGCATTTTTTTTTCCTCCAGTTTCAGAGTAACTTTGCACACGTCATTTTGACTTTCCTGCACAGTGTGTTGCTCTGTTCATTAGCATCTGGGTTCAGGAGTAGGTGATATGTTTGATGTCTGAACAGAACATTATTCTGTGATTCTGTGAAGGTTCTTGAGGGTCTTGAAAGAAAGACTTGCTGTTGCAGAAAAATAGTAGCTTCTCCTCTCCCACAGGATTTTTAGGATACAACTTTCCATGACTGGTTTTCATACTCATTGGTAGCTTATTTTAGCTATCAACTCTGTACAGCTCTTGGAAATCTCTTTTAATTCAAAATTAACATGTTCTAAATTTCAGGGAAGATCAAAAGAAAAAGAGTTGTTTGAAGGAAAGCTATTCAGTTTTCCTGACATCCTCAAGTGTTTTTACCAGTATAAGCACTGTTTATTTACTTGGAAGAGAAGAGTTTCTAATTCAGCCAACTGAGCACTCTGTTCAAGTTTTTACTGAGCCAGAGCAGGCTAGTAGATTTTAAATATGAAAGGATTTTAAATATCCCCAAACCTTTAAAAGGACTTTAGGAGATACAAGAAGCATGAAGAGGAAAAGGATTTTGAAATCTGAGAAGATTTGAATATCTTTGGAGGTCTGATGTAATTTTTTAAAAAAAAAATCTCTGTGTGATTAAAAACTGTAAGGAGGGGCACAGAATATGAAGAAATAGTAAGAGTGCTAAGTGCTCTACTCTGCACTGATGCGGCCTTACCTGGAGTACTGTATGCAGTTTTGGCCACCACAGTACAAAAAAGACATAAAGCTATTAGAGAGCATCCAAAGTAGGGCCATGAGAATGGTGAAGGGTCTGGAGGGGAAGCCATGTGAGGGGTGGCTGAGGTCACCTGGTCTGTTCAGCCTGGAGAAGAGGAGACTGAGGGAAGACCTCATTGCAGTTACAATTTCCTCGTGAGGAGAAGCAGAGGGGCAGGTACCAATCATAGAATCATAGAATCAGATGAAGAGATCGGTGCCTGCCCCTCCTCTTCCCCTCACAAGGCGACAGAGTCCCCAGGGAAGTGGTCAGAGCCCCAAGCCTGTCTGAGTTCAAGAAGCGTTTGGACAATGCTCTCAGGCACATGGTGTGATTCTTGAGGTGTTCTGTGCAGGACCAGGAGCTGGACTCGATGTTCCCGATGTGTTCTTTCCAACTCAGTATATTCTATGATTCTATGACTAGAAACATAAACTTTTCAGTGCTAAGAAGGACTCTTTTTTGTGTGATGCCTCAGTTGTGGTGTTATTGAGAGCATGGCATGAGCTTTTCCTAATACTGTCAACTGAAAAAAACCCCCTATATGTATCACCTAGGCTGATTGTAACAGATTTTGGGTTGTGCTCTAACGGAATTATATGTAGGATAATAAGTTTGAATCAACCTGAAATTTCAAATAGTTTTTAAGTTTAAAAAAGATTCATTCTTTGAGTATCTTTTCTCTCTTTAAAGCTTTGGTTGTCAATACACGTGTCTTTATTTTGAAAGAGAGTAGATAGTGATCTTTTGTGTGCCTCCTACTAGAAAATTTGCAAGCCTTCCCTTGCCAAACAATCCTTGCTGACATACTCTAACACTATTTAAAACCATATGAGTTTCCAAAGGGTGTGGTGAGGTTCTTGTATAGATATTATTGAGGCGTTTTGCTCCACATCTGCCAAAAGCAAAGGTGTGGTGGAATTTGGCACAATTCACCATACTTCATTATTACTTCTACATGCTTTAGCTTAGACACTGTAATTAATAAAGGTAATGTTTGTCCTGAGAAATTCTGCTCTGTTAAGAAGCGCAACACTTCTGAGAAAGGACTGATCTCTATATCTGAAGAGAGAGAGTTTATCTGTTAATGAATAGGCACGCTGTTTTCACATGTGCAAGGGTGCAGTTTTCCTTTGAGTGACTCAGGTGGTGAGCATTTTAAAAGTATCCCAGGTAGCAGTGACATCAAAAGTAGAAAGAGTGGCCTGAATTTCTCAATCATGATGCACAGTGCTGCATTATGAGTAATGATGTATATGTGGCTTGTGTGCACTTCAGCTGAAACTTGTCATTTTTCCGAAGAAATCTCTCAAAGGGTGTAACTATATGTCAGCTGCACAACTACTGAATCAGAAAGCTGATCCCTGCTTCCTGTTTCAGTTCAATAGTGCAAGATATGCCAAGTTATGGGATGAAGAATGTGAATATCAAGTTGATGTGTCTTCAAAACACATTTCTAAACCGGAGCCTTGTGCTGATGTGCAAGAACACAGAATAGAGGAAGGACTCTCTTTTAAGAAACCCATTTAAACATTTGCTCTTTTTTTCATACAGCTTGACTGTAGATATTCTTGCTTGGCAAAACAACCAGGATTTTCCCAAGGCAGTTGGTATTTTTAGGAATTTTTATCAGGAGAATTTTCCCATTACTCACTTAAGGAAGTGTAGAGGAAATCTCAGCTATTCACTGACTTGTTTGGCACTTGCTGGCCCTTCAGTTTCATGCCTTTTAGGCTAATCTTGGAACTGATCTGAACTATCTGGTTAAGTGCACATACAAAGGCAGTAATGCTTTGTCATGGAAGAGAGTAATCCCAAAGAGAGGGGCTTGGAATGGAATTTCCCCCTCAGACTGACAAGGACCTTCAGTGAGCTGGAGTGTCATTAGCATCACTTGAACATGTCTTATCAATGCCTTTGCCATTGCAAGATTCTTCCATCTTTCCATCTCTCTCATTCACTGCCTGTCGCACAAAGGATCTCAGACTCTTGAGACCTGACATCCTTTTATGTGGTTCAAGTTAGCAAGCTTTTAGAAATAGTGACCAAGGGGCAATTAATGACATGATAATGACAAGTAAGACAAGATGATCTCATGTTCGTTTCTGCTCTCTGGTAAAATAAGGTGGCAAGTTTTCATTTTGTTCCTCAACCTTTCTTGAGGCTTGCAAAAGTGTGAACTTGCAGG